TCAAACAGTCATTGTAATTGTAAATATATTGACCATAAATAAATCTCTTTCTATGGAATATCCCAGAAACAGAATTCCTGAGTGTTCTGTGTGCTGTCTTGTTAGACTTCATAACCTACAAGAAGAATTTAGAGGCTCCAGGCATAGCTGTAAGTAATGTGTCTATTGCTGAGTTTGGTTCCCTAGAAACCATGGAAAGCATCAGTGGGTGTGGCGGCCCACCTGAACCCCAGTCCACAGAGGTGAAGCCAGGGAACCCCACAGCAGGCTGGGTAGCTATACAGCTGAACAGCCAGCGCTTGGTGCCACGGAAGACCCTGCCTTAATATGTAAGATCAGTGAGACACCTTGGAAGATGCTCAGTATCAACTTGTGCCTCCATATGTACACACATACATGAGCATGTGTCCACATACATGTAAGCATACTTCCACACATGTACACACCACATGAATACAAAAAAACTGAACGAACTCTTCAAGATAACTATGTTAGAACGTTCATTATGAACAGTGAAGGTTGGGAGGAGACAGCATTAGGAGATGGCACCAGCATGTCTTTCAACAAAGAAAGCCTTTGCACATCAGGTAGTAAAAAAGAGCATCCTATCTGATTAAATAGCAGGTCGCTCTGGCCACCAAATTGTGTTTAACTATTTGCTGCTCACAAATTTTAGTGACTTCTGGGAATACAGTGTGGTTATAACTGCTAAGAAAATGAGCTTTAATGTCGTTAGTGGACATTCCTGATTTGGTGCTGCAGCTTAGCACTTGTGACTGTCCTGAAATCCAGGCTGCCATATCTGTAAAAAGGAAAGAATTAACCTTATTCTCGGGGCTGATGTGAGTGTTTTAACGGAGTGCTTCACTTTGGTGCATTGCACTGCTGTAGTCTGAGGACTGGCGCGTGGGATTCTGCGTGTCACTGCGCTGACTTTACGCTATTACTGTGTTTGGTGATGAGGTGCCCTGCTAGGTCATCGGCCAGCAGCGTTCCACTCTGGCCTGCAGCTCCCCACCCTCCCTTTCTTCTTCCTGTCTCTTTTCTCACCCTGAGTTCCCTGCCCAGCTTCTCTTCCCCTCTCATTTTTCCACCCCAGAAGAAAGGACAAGCCAACTTGTGGGTATGACTGGAAAAGTTCCCTGTCTGTTGTATCCAAGAATGGAGGTGGATAGCTGGTAGAAAGGAATAATTTTTAATTGTTTTCATTCATGCATCCTGGAGCAGAGGCTGGGATCCCCAGAGACAGATGCTGAAATGGATGGACAGAGCCAGGTCTGGCCAGAGGACTAGACTGGCCACGTAAAACCTGACGCATTTGTCTTGAGATCAAAATCTAAAAACTAAAATCAATTTGTGGTGAATTTAACCTCTTCTTTCCTGGGACCAGTGCATCACATTAGGATTTTAAATTGCATGAACTGTGTTTTTTGTGTGGAAAGGGTTTACTTCTTTCTGATCCCTTAATTCTATAAGCAAAAAGAGGGACTATACCAACGTGGATTTTATTGCACAGTAAAATGAGGTGAAAACTTTTGCGCTTGCAGAGGCTGATCCTGATAGATTGAGCATAACACAGGGAGCAGGACCAGAACCATTGTCTGTACCAATGGGATTGACATAGGTGGAGACTGACCACAATGCTGCTGTAGGAAAAATAGCTAGGGTTTCTTGTTTCATTTCTTAAAATTATGTCTGTACAAAGACATAAGTTCAAAAAGGTCTCCCCAGCCCTGTCAAATCAGAGATGGGTGTGTTTAAAGATAAAGGCTGAGGAAAGTGTTTGAACTTAGTTAACAATTATCTCATTACCTCTGGCTCAACTCAGAAATAGCCGGGGAAAATACACAAATATATGTCAGGTTTTAAAGGCGCACACACATAAAAACGAAGTGTATTTTTTTATTTTCAGTCTTTTGTTTTATTATAGCTTACTTTATATAGGGTTTAATTTGTTTTACAATAATACTTTTATCTCCCAATTAACACTAAAGTAACTTTAAATTTATGCTTTTTGTTTTATAGTGTCTCTACACCTTTGTATTTGAGATATACAAAATGTTTCTTTTCACTAATCTATTGGGAATTCTTAATACTTTCAAAGTATTAGTTTTATTGTGTAAATTTCTCCGTGCGCTCCAATTTTCACTTTTCTCTTAGAAGACACTTCAGGGACACTCCAGGTGAGACCAGATAAGAGTGTGCTTCTAGGGGTCGGACGACTGAATACATTGACTTGGCCCTCAGATGTGAGAGGTTTGGATCAAAGAATGACTGCCAACTTACGACTTGTCGGTCATAAAGACGTTTTAGAAAGCTGTGGAAAGTATCTAAGGCTTTTGAGAACTCATGAATAGATTTAAAACTTCATGGTGATCAGTCAGGTTTGCATTTTAAAAGGAGTATTTATCTCACTTCAAACTTGGAGGAAAGCAAATAAGGTAGACATGAGTTGAGTGAGCACGGGGGAGGCATAGTAACAGTCGAGAGAGACTTAGTAGTTAGCAGCTGAAAACCTCAGAACGGACGGATTAGTCAAGAGTAAGACATAAAACCAAGCAAAAACACCCATAGTGGTCAAAAGATAATCAGGATGTGATTTCATATTAGTCAAAGTAAGAATATTCTAGGAAAAAATAACCATCTGTATGTACTAGACGTTCCCGAGTTTGAACAGAATAAGAAACAAAAGCTCTGGTTGTTCTCACTCTGAGGCAACTATGTCATGGATGAGGGTTACAGGGAACTAAGGTGAAGGCACACACAGAAATCTCAGTGGGAAGAAGAGGAAGATGACTGTTTGGTTTTGAAGGGTGACTAGAAACGGAGTACTGAGGAAGAGCAGGAAGCAGTAAAGATAGATGGGTGGTGATGGATGTGTACGTGTGTGCCTGGATGTGAGGTCTGAGGCCAGGGTGGAGGGAGATGAGGTTTTGGATTATAGGGAAGTGAAAGCTAGAGAGAGGTTGGCTGAGGGTCAGTCTGTGTACATCAAGGTGGCGGGTGGTGAGTTTGCTTCTGAAATGCTTTTTGCTTTCCTGTTTTCCTGTTGACAGCGTTAGTGCCTGCTGAGGTTAAAGGGTGAGGGAGGACTGTTTGAAACAGTAGCCCTGCCGAGCACAGAGCTGCCCAGGGAAGGCTAAAGGAGGAGCCTCAAAGCTGAGGTTATCCATGGCCCACCAGAGTGCTGTGTCTTTGTGAATTTCTCCTGAAGCTGCAGCAGCAACCCCGCCCACCAGAGACATGTGGGGGGTGTGACCGAGAGTTTCCGAATAGAGTGTGTGGCCCCTGTGCCTCTGACGGATCCATATTGTTCTGCAGCACAGTATTGAAATATCCTCTGAGGGTTTCTTGGTTGCCCCTTCAGTAAATGGTCCCTATGCTGTCTTGTTTTCCTTTAAGTTCTTGTCAGCTTGTTTATACTATTCCTGTCTCCCCACTTTCTGTTTTTTTCCTTGTTGTCAGTTGTTCTATCACATTGCTGTCTGCATGCAAGTCTCTATCAGCCCTACACCCTGGACTTTGTCAGCACCGGGAGTTATCTGTCACCTCTCTGAAATAAAGCTGTGGGCTGGAAGACCAGACAACCAAGCTTGTTAGAATTGTGTGCAAAGTAAGAGTAAATAACCTGTGAGTGTGATTCTCATGTGCTGTGCTTCGAGGGTGTACGTGAGTGTTTGGGTTTTTGTGGTGTTTGTTAGATTGTTTCTCAGTTGTTCATGTATGAAATGCTTGTTGCCTGTATTCCCATTATGTGTTCTTATTTTGAATTTCCATGGATTATAATATTCTTAGAGCTTGCAATGTTTATAATTTTATTTTGTGTAATTGTACATTACCTAAATCTGAAAACCGTATTTCTAGATACGCCAAATTACTTTTTATTATTCTCATGGATTTTCAAATACTTATCTATTTTGTATGGAAATAACATGTTTTCAAATATGCATTTTGTATGCCAATAATGTACCATGTCACAATTTAATTATTTAGTCATGTCATGTGTAGATGACATAGAACAAAATAAAGCAAATGTTTTAGGAGTTTGAGAAGTAAGTTTTCTGCTTGCATATATTTTCGTGTTGAGTGGATTTTCTCATCTGTGAACATTTCATACACACATCAACAATTTTAACTTTTAGAGTTATATATTCAAGTGCCAGTAACTGTCAGCCTTATTGTCTACAGATAACCCTTTTCAGTGCTACGGATTGAATCCAGGCCCTCGCGTACAGTAGGCAGTCACTTCACTGATCTGCACCCCTTTACTCCCAGATAACTTAATTTTTGATTCCCTCTTTTCTTCTTGTTAGATGGGGACTTTCTCTATACCCCGCCCCACCCCTGCCAAGGCCATGCTAAAGCTTGGGGCCTTGAACAGTTGAGAGCACTGAGAAGCATATGAGCCACCAGGGCACAGTTTTTGGCTAGGAGGCAGCTGTTTTCCCTTCTCACTGTACCGCCTAGGTTAGCTGACCACAGTTTGTCTCATTCTTTAGGAATTGCCGATGAGGCCAAGACAACTGGGTCTCACCTCCTACCTCCCAGGGCACAGCGAAGCCTGCTCCTCTGAGCTCTCCTCTGCCTGGCAGAGGCTGTCTGGGAGCACAGGACTGCTCAGGGACTCTTCTTTCCAGTGCAAGGACATACTTTACCCCTGGAGACGTCCCTCTGCTCAAACTCCATTGCCTAAATAGAGTATAAAAAGCCCTAACAGAAGTTACAGACAAATGGTAGCTTATTAAAATGGTGGGACATGGTGAGAGAGCACAGTGAGAACTTAGAATAGAGCTGTAGAGTAGGCAGAACCCAGCAGGCCGCCTCTGTGCTGTCCTCTAAACAAGCTCTGCATAGCTCAGTGAAGGTTATGTTAATAATGTTTGATAAACATGCCTATATCTTACTGGTAATTTCTGAGAAGTGATCTTGAATCCAAACAAAGTATATTTTCCAGTGTGAGATAAATTTTCTAATTCTGTTTTTATCTTATTTTATCTAAGAACACTGGAACTATTTTGGGGCTGATGAGAATCTTGGTCCAGTGGCTGTGAGCATCCGAAGGGAAAAACCAGAGGAAATGAAAGAAAATGGATCTCCATACAACTACCGAATAATTTTTAGAACTAGTGAGGTAAGTTGCAAATGAGTAAGATTTGAGACTTAATTCAATGGGGGAAATGGAGCAGAAGCAGTAACAGGGGTTAAATTCAATAGGATAGGGTCACAGTGTCTTTGGAACAAAGAAGGCTTAGGGCTGGGGAGATAGGGCTTACTAGGACCTGAGTTCAGTGCCCAGCACCTATGTGTCAAAAGCTGGCATGGTGGGCTGTGCCTGAAAGGAGGTAGAGAAAGGCAGATCCCTGGAACTTTCTAGCCTGACAGCCTAGCCCACTTGGCAAGTTCTTGAGCAACCCTGTCACTTGGGGGAAAAAAGTGGATAGTATCTGAGGAATGATACTTGAGGTATGACCTTTGGCCTCTGCACATGTGTGCATGTGCACACTTGCGGAAGAAAGGTCTGTTCTTTGGTGGAGATGCTTGAGAACAGTTGCCTATGTCTGGCTTTTCCTTCTCTCCCAAGGTAGGTGTGGTAAAGGAGTGGGAGTTTCCATGCAAAGAAAGCCAGGTCAGGAGGAGGCAGGAGCCCTTACGACTCACAGGTTCAGGGTATCTGGAAAGCACCCAGACCTCGAAGAGCCATTTCTAAGCATGTGTGACATTATTCCAGTTACCGATGTATTGCCTCAGCTCCTAATTCATTTTAGGATCATTCATATATATCAGTGCCTGAGGTATTAAGAAAGTAATGGTTTTGAAATTAGTTTAAACAGAGAGTTTGGCTTTATTTTCCTCATTGAATGCAGAGCAAGTTTCAGGGTTTGGCTTTGCTTCCTAATTGTTTCCAAGCTTGAACTCTGGGGAAATTAAAAGTGGGGATTTTAAAGGCAAGGGTTTTGTATCTGATATGTTGTTTGTAGTGGCCAGGGAAGGGTGGAGAGCCTGCCTGTATTCATGGCCTTTTCCTGTGTCAGAGCTGAGGATGGCTCAGAGGCAGCCCTTTTCTATCTATCCCAACATCACACTTGACTCTTCTCTTCTTGTTCCTCCTTCACATTTACTCCGCCAGCATCCTTCTCAGTCTTGCCTCAAATATTGTGTCCAAAATTTCACCCACTTCCATCCCCCAAGGCCCAGGCCTAGTCCCGCATCCTTCACCCAGCAGAGAATCTCTATGAAATGCAATCTAGATCTCCTCATTTTTCCTTCAGAATCCTTTAGTCTTCTCTAGGCTTCTGAGTAGAGCCCGCCTAGCAGCTAGTGTACCTGCTGAGGTGCCCCTACCCCCGTAACTCCCCTGGTTCTGTTCTTCCCATCCACTTTGGCATCCTCCCCACCGGCTGCCTAAGGACTTTGGTGCTTTCTCCTGCCTGTGGCCTCAGTCTCCTCAGCTGTTCCCAGGGCTTCTAGCATTCTCATTCTGACTTGTGCTCATAAGCCACAGGACCCTTTGCTGTCCTGGATCTGAATATTCTGTTTTTTCCCGTTTAATTCTACTGTCTGATTTCATCCTTTTGTGAAGACTTGACACAATCTTACACAGTGTGCTTATCATTGTGTTTGTTTTCTGTCTCTCCCACTGGCATGTAAGCCCCGTGAGGGTGGACACTCTCCTGTGCTCATTACTGTACTACAAAACAGTCTCTTTGCTGGGTGAGGGGTGGGGTGCAGCTTCGGATTCTTGAGTTCCACCTTATTCCTGACTTAATTCCTCCAAGTGTGCACTCCAAGCCTTCTGAAAACTCGGTGAGATTTCACAGTGGAGCCAGGGGCTGACAAGCCCTCCCCAGCTGCGGGGCTTTTCTCCCCCTCTGTTTCTGGCTCCACCATCCCACCTTGCCTGTCCTGTCTCAGGGGCAGCTGCAGCAGAGCTGCTTTCTCACACACATGCAGACTTTTCCTCTCTCGGTACCTTTGCTCATGTTTCCTTTGTTGCTGTTGTTTTGTAGTTTGATTCCTTTGGTCGTTAACACATTTCTTTTTTTCCTTGTTTCCTGTAACTGATTTCTAATGTTACCTCCTCTACTAAGCTTTTTCCTAGTGACCTGAGCCGCTGTCATTCCTCTTCTGCCTTTGGATTCTCCTGTTTTCTTTAATGAACAGTCTTCCCTAGATTACATGTATGCATTTCTCGTTTCTCGTCCTGTTAAATGCCACACACATCCCCAAATGTGTGCTCTGTTAACTGTCACCTTACAGCTTTCATACTTAATGGAAATCTACTCCATATCTTATTTCTTAGACCATCAAACCGTATTTAAATTTACTAAGAGTTTTGCCACACAGAACTTTTGAAAATCAAGACCACTTTATGTTTCTCCAGCAAATTAGTTAATATAGAGCGCCATTGCTTGAGTTAATATTTGATTATAGCTGGAAGCGTTTTAAGGAAGGAAGAGATGCCATATCCAGTGCTGTTGGCTGCAGTCGTCACTGTTAGAAGGCATGAGCAGCTTATGCTTTTCAGCCCCGTTAGGGAGGGTAAAGCATCACCCACCCTCCTTCCTTTCGTCATTTCAGAAGTATACCGTGCACATTCTCAGTGTCCCTGCAGCATCTCTCTGAGCTGACTCCCCCATTCCTCAGTGTGCTTCCTGTCACTCTGTAGTGATGCAGAGACCTTGAGCTGGCTGATCCTGTAAGGGCAGGCTCCTTTTGTCAAGTAAGTGAACAGCTCAGTACTGTAGCAAATACCTCATGAGTTCTTTTGAACTTCTGTGTGGGTTCTTGGGAGTGATGGCATCATTTTTCACATATAGAGTATCCTGTATTCTCTGTCTTCCTCTACCTCACTGACTTGACTAACCACCAATCATTTTTTTTTTTTTAAAGCTTGGGACAGAGCTATTGTCTTGGCCTCTAGAGCCTAGTATACATTCAGCATCTCATTCGGTATCTCTCTCCTGTAGCTCATGACGCTGAGAGGATCTGTCCTGGAGGATGCCATCCCCTCCACAGCCAAGCACTCAACAGCCAGAGGACTGCCTCTGAAGGAGGTGTTGGAGCATGTGATCCCAGAGCTCAACGTGCAGTGCCTGCGTCTGGCCTTCAACACACCCAAGGTCACGGAGCAGCTGATGAAGCTGGACGAGCAAGGGGTAGGTGTGGCACCGCGCGGAGCCCATCCATGCTACCCTCGTTTCCTACTGGGCTTCCGGAACAGGCTTTGATGTTTCTTCTTGGGTTGGGAGAACTATGCCGTTTGTTGTACAGGGTAGTGCCTTGTGGCTGTTCATCTGATCATGTCTCACCTGCACTCTATGACAGCTGGTGGATAGAGGGCTTTAGCCCCATTCAGCTCTTTCCATAGTCACCCGCACAGGCGATGGCTTTCTGAGCGTGTGGGAAAGCCAGGGAGTATCAACAGTAACAGAAAGTGTAATGATGGTATTACATTTACTAATAGTTAGGATGGTAATGGCAAATACTGCTGACCATGTTCACCAGGCCTAGCTGTTTAGAAGGTTATCCTATTTTGTGCCCCAACCTTAAGAGAATTGTGCTGTTATGATCCCCATTTTTAAGACAAGGAATCTGGGCTGAAGAGATAGCTCAGAGGTTAAGAGCACTGTCTGCTCTTCCAGAGGTCCTGAGTTCAATTCCCAGCAACCACATGGCAGCTCACAACCATCTATAATAAGATCTGGTGCCCTCTTCTGTCATGCAGATGTACACACAAATAGATGTGTATATGCTCATATGTAAAATAAAGAAATAAATCTTAAAAAAAAAAAAGACAAGGAATCTGAAGCATAGAAAAATTACATAATAAATTCAGTTTCACACTCTTTATAAGTTAGGGAACCAGGATTCAGTCATCTGACTGCAAGCATGTACTGATAGCTGTTAACCACACCATCCCTAAAAGCTTAGATTTAGAAGCCTACTTTAATACTGCCAAAGATGCATTTTTGCCTGGAGCTTTAAGTATAAATATTTAGAGCTGGGGTTTGAGTCAGCAGTATTGTTAAAAATGCCCAAGGTTGCTGCCTTCATTTTTCTGTCCCCAGCCATGATGTCCTTTGGCCAAGGTGCAGAGTGCTTAGATGGCCAGGGTAGAGGCTGCAGGAAGGAAGAAAGCTGCTGGGACCTGAAACCCTTCCCATCTGGCTGTGAAAGCCATGTTCTGCTTGGAGTAAATTGAACACGGCTAATTTTGTAGACATTATGCCCACATAACCTTACCTCTAAGTCCTTCTATCCGCATTGTACCCTAGCAGTGAGTAAAAGTAGTTTGGACTTTCCATGTAAAATTTGACCAGGTATGACAGCATTTTTGTGAACAAATTTGTCTATGTTTCCTTAATCAAAAATTCTGATTTTTATTAAGCTGGAATTGAGCACCTCCCCTTAAAAATCAATTTCAAGGTATTGTAATTCTCTCCTTCTACTCTGTGAGCATACAAAATGAACGAGAAGTTGATGGAGCCTTCGGAATCCTCCTTTTTTATCATGCGCTGCACAGTGCCTCATAGCCAATGTCCCCTCAGTATGAATGCACAGGGAATCTCATGAGTGTCCGTCTGCGTTTGTAGCATGTAACTCTGGAGCACATCGGATGCTTCAGAAGGTGGCCGCTGCGTGAGCTGGAGTCCTCTCAGGACTGCCTTTTAGCACATCCTCTGGATATTAATAAAGGAGAAGGAGCTAGGATGGCTGGGTTCAGCTTTATTAGTCTAGTCATTTCAATTACTGCGCTTACCCAGGAGGGAGAAACCCACTCAGGCATTGATAATACAGTCATATACTTAACATTCCCAAGCTCTACAGAGCAGATTACTTCACATAGAGAAGGTGTTTTATTACCATTTCCCTTGTTTTAAACATATTAAATTTAAAAATTCATGCTCCAGTTGTGGGTTTTTATGGGACGTCTGGCACATTCTGTGTCGTCGTACTGCGTGCAGAGTGTTGGGCCGCAGATGGCGCTGATCTGTGATGAGCATTTCATGGTCCCCACAGCACAGGAAGCAGAACAGGAATGCCATAATGACTTTAACTCGGTTACATTTATTCAATTCACAGAATTGGCCATCACTGTGTAATTATCGCTTTCCTGTTTTTAGTTACTAAAATGTTTCTTCCTTCATGAATTATTAATTCTAATATATGGTAATTGTTCTCCTTGGTTAAACATTATAATGTGGCCATCAGTGGATCTTTGTAAAAAGGTGTCTAAAATACGCTATCCCGTGAAAATAGGGCTTTACCATTAGGCAGACACTAAAGCACGGTATCCTGCCTGAGCCACCCCGTACCTGCACTTAACTGTTCGACTCTCGCTTCCGTCTTGTCTGTCTTCATGCACAGCCTTCCAGGCTGGGGTCATACACACTTGACATTGACCTCCTCCTGGGGTCATACTCTTACACACTTGACATGGCAGTTGTGGATCCTTGGAGCCACTTGGAGAAGTAGATCTTTTGGTGTCTTTTGAAAAACGTACTTTAAAAAGAAACGCACTGGGTAGTGGTGGCCCACGCCTTTAATCCCAGCACTCAGGAGGTAGAGGCAGGTGGGTCCCTTTGAGTTAGAGGCCAGTCTGGTCTAGAGAGAGTTCCAGGACAGAGAAGCATTGTCTTAGAAAAAAAAAAAAATGAAAAGGAATGTAAAAAGGAAATGAACGCAAGGTCAATGCTCAGCACAGAAACCATTGCAAAGCATTTCTGTTTTTCATCTTTTTTATTTTTATTTTTTAAATTCAGGCTTTCTATATGTCCTTGTGTTAGATTCTCAGTGTGACACCCAGAAACTGGACTCACTAAAAGAAACCTTCAATCTCCCTGTATTATCTTTTCTACCCTTATTAAGCTGCTAACATAAACATACCTGGGAAAAGAAAACACAAGTTTGTTTTCTGTATTGTAGAATTTTGCTTTCAGATCCTTGATGCTTGATTATGTTCTTCTGAGAACAGAAAGCAGAAATAAACCTAAGCAAAAAAAACAAAAAAAAAAAAAAATTTTTTTTTTTTTTGTAAGGTCCAAGTGTCCAGTTAAGTCACTGGCCTGTCGTTTGGGTTTGGCTCCGTTATGCATGCTGGGGTCACAAGAGATTCTTGAAACTCATTTTGAGACAAGAGTGTGTGTTCTGTGACTTACGGAGGCATTCCCATTGTTCTTGCTCTCTTTGGGGGCTTTAGCTTTTTTTGAATGGCCATTTGGATTCTATTGTTATGTGAAATGAGAAGATATAACTTGTTTGGCAGGGGTTCCACATTGCCTAGAGTTTACTGGGGCTCAGAAAATCTGTTGCAACTTTGGATTTGGTTTACCTGCCTTATTGTTGTGTGTCTGTTTCCTGAGGGCATTTGTAGGATAAAAGCAGACTAGATAAGATGCCTTGCACAGTTATTAGGTTCTGATCTCTTTCCTAGCATTATTTGATTTAATTTCCACAGTGTGCCTGAGCAGTTTATTCCAGTCACTAGCCTGTTTTATGTTCAAGGCAATTGAGGTCCCAAAAGCTTTTGGGCATTTTCTGCCCTCTCATCTCTTGCTACAAGTCTGCATAAATACTGTCTTTTCAAGAACTGCAATTTTTCCTTTACTTTTTCTTGTCTTGAAATCCTTTTATTTTTAAAAGAGATTGTGAAGTGCTAGGAATTTTACTATCCTATTAGCTTTTAATATATGTGGCCAATTCCGGTACTTTTAAATTATGTCAGTCTTCAACATTCTAAACCACCTTTATTCCCTCTCCTTTTTGCATGGGGAATGAGAGATTGTCATGTCCTGTCTTGAGGAACTGACTAATGTGTAGCACTCAGTACGACACTGGGCACTTGAAAAAGAGCCAAGGACTCTTAGCTGCTATTGATGGTAATAAAATGATCACTTGTTAGTCACCTTTTACATGTGTTATCTCGTTTAGTCTTTGCACGCTCTTATGGGAGCGCTCCTATTGAAAATAAAATACAGTGCTTCTACAAGTAAGCACAACTGGTGTGCTCTGCGTACTCCTTGCAAGTTGATAAAGACTGCTTAACATAATGAACGTAAGATACCTACAAAGAGAGATGTGAATGCAGACCAAAGGGCAGGAATCAGTATTGGCTGACAGGGTCAGAACGAGGTGCCCCTTGAAGGGAGAAGGCTTGTATCAGAGTAAGTGATCAGGGGTTCCGGACCCAAATCGGTAGGAACAAAGTAGAGGGGAAAGGCTCCATGTGTTCACAGCACTTCCAGCAGGCGCGCTGAGCAGGAGTGTGAAAGCATGCAGCAGGGCAGTAAAAGGAGGAAACTTGGATTGAGCAGTGACCAAGCCAGGTATTGTGTGAAGTAATGTGCATGAGTAACATCCAGGCACACAGACTTCATAGCTCGCATTCCTAGCCCCTGTGCTAGATGCCCCATCCTGAGTAGGGAGGATCCTGGCATGGTAGAGGTTTTGGTATCCAGCATGGAGTATAATGTATTAAACCCAAATAAAAATAGGATAGGGCTGGTTTTCCGATGTCAGAGGCTCCCTTGCTAGTTTGTAGTAGAGGGAATCAGTAGTCCTGCTTTCATTAGGAAATGCCCAGTCACAAATACCCAGTAGTGATTTTGCTTGAATGAATATCCAGTTTTGAAGGTGTTCACTAAAAATACTTGAAATGAAAAGATGTATTTCTCAGTTTTTAAAGCGATTACTTTTCAAGTTGTTGAAGCCCATGAGGAAGCCTCGTCACTTTACTGTACGCCTGCAGCATGTTAAGCATGGCTGCCGGGAAGATGGCAGTGCCTTTTTCCTACTGAATAGCGCCGATCTTTTGATAGGGTATGACTGGAATGCTGCTGTTTTCTGCTCACTGCCAGGGCGCATTACTTTATTGTGAGACTAAATGGGTTTGACCAGCCGCTCTTGTCTCTTTTCAGGCAGCCTGTTTTGAAAAAAAAAAAAAAAAAAAAATGACCCATAGGGAAAAACATTCTATCTAAAACCAATTTTCCATGAATGGCGCTTGGGCAGAACAATGACATCCCTCAAATTGAAATCTCTTAGATTATGGGAGTAGCCAGTGCATGTTTGCTGTTCAGATGCGACCAGGCTACTCCTGGCCCCGGGCATGCCTCCTCAGGAAGCGCACTTGCCAGCCGTCAGGTGCAGCTGCTTG